CTGGCAATAAAAGCTGCTAATAAAGAAACAGTGTAAACTAGAAGACAACAGTAGCAACAGTAATTATACTGCAAAATGATTAAAAAGCTCACAGCTATAATGACTCTAATCTATTCTATGAGAGAAACTCAAAGATTCAGCATTCAAAAAAATAATCAATTAGGGAGCAAGGGAGATGGAAAAAAAATCTATTTAAACTGAATTCCTCCAATCAAGTGATAAATCAGTAATGAATAATTGTAGGAATTACTGCAGCTCACCATGTTTTGATAACACTGGCTACTCCATCAGAGACTGAGGAAAAACTGCTCAGTTTCTCAGCATCCAAAGGGACTCCGCAGAGTAGTCTGTGAGAAATTGTTGCGCTCAACAAACTGTGCTGCTTGGCTGGAAGCCAAACCAAAGTTAAGGTCTTGGTTTGGAGAACTTTTCTTGCCACTTTCAGTTCAGCGGCACCTAACAGGCAGGCTCCTTAACTCTTAACCACTTTTAGATATCATCTCTTTTCCTCTCCCTGCTCTTCCTTTACATTTTTCCTCCCCCAGATAGGAGGTGTTCACCTATCAGCTCCTCACAGTGATGCTAGCTGAGAAAATGCTGTTCTTGGATATCTGCCATGTCCCCTTTCCTCTGCAGAAGCCAAGGAGTTCAAAGGAAGAACACTAGGAGGATGCATGGGAAAACCTGTGGTGGTTCCCAGCCCTTCCTCTCACAAAGCACTGTTCCTTAGAACAGGATTTGTGTGCTTGAACGTGGTATTTCACACACTCCTTCATGCTCATGGCCAGGCAGCAAGATCCCACCCCTCATCACTTCCTCTCTCCTTAGCTGCTGAACTTGGATAGCTTCTACCTTGGAGGGAGGGTGTCCTCCAGGCAGGCACTTACGTGCCTGGCTACGAGTGGCACGGAGATGAAAAGCCAGCTCTCACCCAGCCAGCTGTTCCCACTCTCAGGAAGTGATACTCGCCCTTAGGTAAGGGAAGAGCTTCAGGTGATGCACCCCCCGCCCCGATCCAGTGCATGGTGGTCCCTGGGCAGCACAATACCAGGCTCTCCCTCCCCTTGGCTTCCCCACCCCACTCCCTTCCAGATTCCTCATACCACATCAGCTCCTCATAACTGCACCGATGTTCTCGGTCACCTGCCGCTCTGAGAAACTGCCCTCAGAAGGGAGATTGTTTTCACTGCACTCTCGCTGGGTCCTGAGACTATTGGCAGGGAGTCGGCAGGAGAGACAAAGACTGGTGTGGGCAGCAGCCTGGACTTGGGTCAGATTGAGTGTGCAAAGAAAACAACTTGTATTGAAAACTTTCTTCACCTGAGCAAAGAACCGTATTATTCTAAAGGTAAAAATATGTTACTCTGTTTCCCTGTATGTCTCCTCCTTGTTCATTCTAGTGAGATTATTTTGTATATTAAAAACCAGGGCCTTTCTAAAGCTTTTACTTTTATTCCTGTAGCTCTTTCCTCCACTGTTCCATTTGCAAAAAAAATTTTGAAACATAGAGAACCTGACACTATCAGATATCTGCCCTCCAAATATCGGAGAAAAAACCCCAATAGCTTCCACCTCACAAATATTGATATGTCTATATGAAAAAAATCTTTCATATGGGCTCTTTTTAGCATGGTGGTATTGGAGACTTTGTCTGACTGACATATCTTTGTTATTACCCTCTTCAAGGCTTGTATGTGCTAGGATGAGATCCATGCTCCTCAACCTTGTTCAGAAGATGCTGAAATGCTTCTGAGAGCAGAGGACTGGATTTGACTAAATGCATCAGATGCAAGGATTAAGTATGAAATATAAATAGCAAGAATGTGGATCAGATCACATGAAAAAGCAATCTGAGTGTCAAGATAAAAATATAATTTCTCCTTTGATGCTTTCCTATGTAATTTCTGGTTTTATGTTTTAAATAAATACATTAAAGGAATTTTTAATATTGTGATTGAGCACCTCAGCTTTCTGTAAAGTAGGCATTATAACCTTAACTACCAAATATTTAAAAATTCAATTTCAGAAGAAGGGGAAAGATAAACCAACTCCAGGAAGGACTTAGCTGTGCCAAAGCTGCTCTGCTTCTCAACATCTCCCTGGAAAAAAAAAGCATTGATCATTATCACCATACTATCCCTCCTTATTTGCTTACTGTTCAAATTTCAGAGTGGGATGCAATTAATTAATATGGGTTTACATGTGCTATGTTTTTAGACCTAGTATCTATTGACAGCCACTTGACATTAATTATTTGTATTATTGACCTCTTTGCATCACAGAAAGCTCTCTGGAGAAGAGCTTGGGAACATGCCAGAGGTGGAGAGGCATAGTTGCTGAAGGCAGGTAGGGAGATGCTGCAGTTGCACTTGTGCAGACTGGGAGGGCAAGTATTGTAACACTCTGGGTGCTTTAGTTATTGCTATTGTTTTCATCAGTGAGGCTCAAAATGGAAGAAAAGCAGCCTCAGTTGTTTTAAATCCTTGCTTCAAAGGCATAGTGTGACCCTATTGAGCTTTGGGATGTGCCTGTGGTACAAAAGACAGTGAGAGACTTCCCTTGCTGCATAGAGATGTGAGAAAGCCCAGGCCACCCCAGCTAGGCGCTCATGTACAGGTGAACTGAAAGTTAGACAAGTCCCTGAGGTTTCCAATAGGGATGCATACATACAAAATCAGCAAATAAACAAGTCATATAATAATCAGAACATTAAACTTCAGAAACAGTACCAGAGAGACAAAGTTCTAGTTGTAGGGACACAAATCAGATAAACCTGAGCACCACTGCCACAGGTGGAGCAGCAAGGCCTCAGTGACAAAAATGGGGCAGGTACCAGTTTGAGGGCAGGTGATCCCCACAGGGATGCTACTGGACAGCAGCCAGGAGAGCAACCTTGACATAACTTGGGTCAGTGTAAGACCTTCAGCTGTCTGAGAAGGCCTCACCCAAAAGCTCATAGTGCAGGGAGGAAATTAACAATGATGAAGCTTTCTTTGGCTGATCATCAGCCAGATTAGAAAGCAAGAAAGAGAATATTAAGAGACCTTGAGGGCAGGAGTCAGCTTGAAAAAAATAAAAAGGTACAAAAATTTGTGACTCTGGAGGCAGACATTGGAATAGGAGAGTAGTAGTCAAAACCCAGATAGAAATTCAAAAAGTTGCAGGCCTTTGATAATGTTTGAATGTCTACTGTTGTGATTTACATTGTTGATATTCATCCTGAACATGTATTTCACTGATTGTTTTTGAATTACTTTTTATTAAAAAAAAAAGTAAATCAAAATACTTGGATCCTGATTCGATTTAACCACATAAGCTGTACAGGTCTTTTCCTGAGAAAGGAGGCAAAATAAATGACACACATTGGATAGTAAGGAATGAAGGTCTCAAAGAAACAAATTGCCCGGAGAAAATATTTTCTGCTCACCTGTAAGTGTTGAAGTTGGGGTGAGCACCCACCCAATGCTCTCATGATGCAGTGAGCTGAGGCAGGATGCTCACCCCTTTTTTCCTTTGCCTTGTTCAGGCACTAGACCATAGACAGGAATCAAATAAGAGAAGATTAAAACATTTCCACTCAGAGAAAAGTTCTCCCCTTAATTACATGAGCAATAATAAGAAACTCAGCTTTTTCCTCTCCACATGCATTACACTGTGCAGTAGATTTTAGGGAGGTGCAAACAGAGGAAACTTAATACCAATACAGGATGCTGCTTCCCAGCCAACAGCACATGGGCAGAGAGCCACCACTGCTCTCCAGGTCAGAGGAAAAGACACCTGTGCTTTTCATATTTATGGCTTCTTCTGTGACTCTGCAGCAGAAAACAGGAAGCAACTGCAGATCATGGAGCTATTTAATGATAAATTACCGTATTAATGACCACCAGAACAGATTTAGAAGCTTCAAGCTTTAACAGCTGTCCCTAATCACTTATCACTTACACCCCAAGAAATGCAGCAGTAGAGCCTTTGTCTCCTTCCCACTGGGTGACTCTCACTTTTTTGGGGTTTTTCTTTTTCACAGTCAGATGCCAGCTCACTCCTCTTCCTCTCATTTTGTTTTAAGCACACGATGTAACTCCCAGAGGTCTGCTGGTATCCTCTGTACCCCAAACCCAACCTCGAAAGCTCCCTCTCAGACTGAAATGCACGTTTGTCTCTTGTGGCCTTGCTCTGTTTTGCGGCGTGCTTCGATTGCCAGAGCAGCCAGCTGGGGCAGTAAGTTAGAGAAAGACGTCGTTCCCATAGTAACTCATTTTCTCTACCCACTCATTAGATTAACACATTTTAGATCAAAGGTAGACATGAAAATATCTCAGAAATGATAGTCCAAGGCTTTACTTAAATACGAACTAAATCCACCCCACTATCTCAAAAAGCACTGCTTAATATCAGCACATACGTCTACAGCTGCCATGCTCATTGTGCTCTCCTACCTCAAAGTTGTCAAAAGAATCGTGGACACTTCATTTTGTTGCTACTTTGCAGACAATTGTTTAAGTACAGAAACAAACAGGTACTCCCCACTATCAGATCAGAGCTGCAACCAAGCGGAGAAGTTCACCATCTCTGTGATCAGCTCTTGGGGCGCTCAACATTCAGGTAATGTTTCCAACTTTGCTGCAGAAAAGGTCTGATTCGCACTCCCAGTGGCAGCAAATCTCTTATCAGTTTTGCCTTCCCCAAATTCAATTTTGTTACATTTTTAGTAGTCCAGCATGCATTGACTTAGTGGAAGTTCAAGCCCAAGGAACAAATTCATGTGCCAACACCATGTGTCCAGAAAATATAAAAAGCCTTTGGGCTGCTTCTGCGCCATCATCACACAGCAACTCTGCCACGCACCAGAAAGAGGAAAAAAATCCCGATACTGCATGGACTCTTTGCCACTGAATATTTCCAATAATACTTTCTCACAAAACAGGCAGGACACAAGGTTAAGGGATGAGAAACCCAGAGCTTTATATAGTGTTTCTTTTTCAGTTTTGGATTTTTTTTTGCCCCTGAAGTGCAACTCTACAGATGGAATATGAGCCAGTTCTTTTGATTCCCTTTCTTGTCATTCCTCTCTCCAAACTGATTTTATGGTTCTCGGGGGGGGGGGTTCGCCAAATATATCTGCATACTTACACATTATATACACAATGTATACTGCTTGTGCAAACTGCAGTTGGTGTAATGGGTCCTGAACATGCCTGTTATGTTACTGTAATGCAAGCAGTAACCATGAGATTGCTAAAAACACTGTCTTAACCCTTTGCTGACATCCAAGTAAAGACTACTTAAACCTAACAACATAATTCAGAGGCCGACTCACACTGGCATTTTCATGTTAGTGTCCTCTGCCCATTTTTGTCTGAGAAACAGGATTTTCCCAATGACAGCCTGCAATTTCACCAATCTGTTAGAATCACCAGGAATTGAACTTGGCTCTTTTTTTTTTCTCTGCACTTCTCCTTGTCAGAAATCTCATTTTTCAGCTGTGCAGCCTTGGTGCTCCAGCTCGCCCCAACAACATCTCACCTATTTTTTCCTCGGTATAGCTCCTCACAAAAGTGCAATTTGCAGGTGACAAAAAATAATTGTCATCTCAGAAAGTTGCCCCAGAGTTCCGTGCAAAAATTCATACAAAAGGTGTGATGTATATTAAGAACTTAGATGAGCCAATGCTGTTCATCATTTCTAACAGCAAAGTCAGTGCAACCCTTTGCCTGGTCAGGTGGGGGCAAATGTTACGTGTGTCCCAACTAAGATCTCTCACATCAGATATTGTAATGCCCTCACCTAATAGCTTCACAGTATTGACTCATTTTAATTGTTCCTTCATTTCCTTTTGTGTCATTTGGCTCTCTGACAGTCCTTCCCTTGTCTGCTTTACTCCTACAAAGAAAGGTATCACCATATTCTTGGAAGATAGCTCACATAAACTCTACAGTGCTGGATGGTGCATGACTGGGTCTTTGTACTGGGGACTCTCTGCTGTTTTCTGTCACCTGGGGAGACTGAAATTCAGTCCTAGTTTTCAAGTAAACTGCAGATGAAAGAGACATTGCCTGCTTTGTTGTGCTGTAACCTTAAGCTAGAGCTTTAAAATATATATGATTTTGGTCATTAAAAAAACTGTAGCTTTTTCCTGTCATTTATGTTCTCTATACTTTGTGCCTCATTAGAAACATGAGAGGAATCCAGGCACTACAACACGATAGAAATGCCAGCCAGCAGCCAGTACATTTTGAGTGTTAAAATGCACACAGTAAAATGGTAGTTGAATGCAAAGAACAAAGTTTTTCTCTTAGCTTCTATTATTTTCTGCATTTAAACTATAGCAGTCAGAACAAAATCACAGACTTTTCAAATGATGAAAGGAAGCCCAGTGGTAAAGCTGACCACAAATTTTAAAAATTCCTGTTACTTAATAACTGTAGCCCACTGGTTCTTTGCAAGGAAATAGGTGCCAGTCATGCCACTATCCAGGCAATAATCATTCTCTGAGTCTCATCTCCCTGCTTCTTTCTATTGGCAGAGGATAACTGGTTAAGCTGCCCTTTTTCTTTTGGGAAAAGCTAAATACCCTGCTCTCCCAAGGCAGGCAGGCAGGCAGCTCCTGGTCTGTGTGGCCACACAGGGAGGGAAGGGACACTTCCTGCTTTGAACTAAGTGCTGTTCCCTCAGGAAACAGTTACTGCCGTTCTCAGGGCACAGCAGAGGGGGGTCATACCTTTGATCATCAGATACCAAGGTAACATTGACTGGTTTTCCTCTCTCTCCAGTCTGATATGTTGCTTTCCTCATTTTAAACATCCAAAAACAAGAGAAGAAAGACAACTGCTTTCCCCCAAAGAGAAGTCTGCAAGCACTCGTGCTTGTGTGAACTCTTTCTCTTGCTTCTTTTCACAAAAGGAGATGGCCAGCAATTAGAAGGCAGGCAGCGCTTTGGGAATAATTCTGCTATTCTGTCTGGTTTTGGTATTTCAGAAGTTTCTGCTCAGTTAAATTCCCATGAACAGCAGATGGATGTCCTTTCAAGTCTGCCTCTGGACTAGACTCAGTGTCATTCATGCCTTCAAATAAGTGGTGCTTTCTACTTTGCAGGTAGAAAGTAACATACTACACAGATTTTCAAGGTTAACAGAGCTCTTCAGGGACCCTGAGATTTTACTACAGAAGGTTAAACTCTGCTACACAGCGTGTTACAGGCTAAGGAGGAGGATAACATTCCCTGGTGTTTCTGAGGCGGTCATTTTTCAACCCTTACTCAATACTGGTGGGGTAAGCTGACCCAACCCCAAAAGAGCTCCATCTTTCTCACAACTCCCTATCATTGCAAATACGGAGAAAACTCCAGTCACCTTCTTTTAAATCTCTCTAGTTCCCTGCCAACCCAACCTCCTGCAGCATGAACACCTTTTTATCCCCTGAGCCAAGTGATTTTACAGCTGGCTGGCAGGAATGGTGCTGCACTGACCAGGATCTGCTGCTTAGCCCTGGTGTCTGCACATGCACATGCAAAAAGCTTATTTCAGTGTCTTAACTTGTATCCCCAATTTACACTTACTGCAGCTGTACTTCAAAGTGCTCTTGGTCCTGTCACAACCTACTCATTTGTATCTCATGTGTAACTGCACAACTACACAGAGTTCCTAAGCAATAACCAGCATACACCGTTTTTGGGGTTTTTTTGGTGCAATTTTCTTTCTTTAATTTTTTTTTAAAGTAGACATTACCCGAGCTGCTCCCAGTAGTTAAACCTGTCTCTGATTAAAATGTCATGCTCTGGTACATGCTGTTTATGTTCAGCCCCTGGGATCCATCCACAAAGTCAATCAATACATCATGCAGAACACAGATTACAAGAGGTGCCACCCAGCCACCTTTGTGCCTGCAGTTGCTCTCTCTCTCTCTGGCAGCTCTCCCAGCAGCCCTGCAGACGGCAGACGCAGCACAAGGGAGACCAAAAGTAGTTTATTGGCAGAGATGCACACCGTAACACAAATTGCAGGCAGCTGCCTTAACACATCCTGACAAGGAAGCTCTGATTGGGCTTGACACCTACATGATATACAGCTCTCCAACTATACAGGTCCTGAGGGAGCGCAGTGGAGACCTGCTCCCCGGGAGAGAGGCAGGTTAACATGCCAGGAGTTAGCCAGCACTGCTGCTCCCTTGTTAATATAAACAGCAGCAACTTGCCTTAAAGAAGGAAGCACAAAGTGACCTTCACCGCCTGGCAGTCAGCAGTCTTAAATCCAGCAACAAACACAACACAATACCTTACACGTCTCAGAATGGTTTTTAAAGAGAGCTAGAACATAATAGCTGCCTCCCCCATTATATCTCAATTCACCCTTCGACTTTGGCTATTATGTGTTTTCTTGCTAAAGCTTCTGTGGCAATTTCCCCAGCTGCCTGACGCCTGAGGGCTGTGTCAGCTGCACAGCGAGTGCCTCCGAGGCACAGGCACGCTGTGAACTAACGCTGCAGGATGGGGCACACAGCAGCCCCCCTCAAACGTACGTGTGCCCACTGCCCAGCTGAATGCATTCGCTTCCCAAGGTTGCCAAGTGCTACTGAGCCAAACAGCTCCTCAAACTGTTACTCTCCTAAAAGAGCAGCCAAATTCAACACGAAGGAGCTACCCTGCAGATCAAGCAGAAAGATGCTGGCGACTTCAGCGAGGCAAGGATTATAACAGAGCAGGTGGCACTTGTAGGAGTACATCCCTGGCTGAAGCAGCCCGCCAGCGTGCAGAGCGGCTCACCAAGCATCTCCACGAAGGAGTGAAGCAATCCCGGATGAATAACCTCCCACCAAACTGTCAGACAGTGACTCACTTTCCTGAAACCAAAAGGCTTTATAAAGGAAGTGCTTGAATTTTAGTTACCTGTTTATTAAAAGTGGTTTGAGCGGTGGTGAGCGATTTCAGGAGGTTTCAGGTGGTTGCAGCATCCAAAGGTGTTCTGGACCTTGGCATTGCTTCCCGCCCCTCTTCTGACATCCAATATTTCCTCTGTAATGGTTGCCTGTGTCCTATCAGCTGGTTTTCATCTTTGTCTCCTAGCGCTCATGATGTAAGAAAACATGTTCATATTCATATCATCTCCAAACTGCCAACTGTTAACCCATCCCTGCTCCTCCACAATTTTTTTGGATGAGATTGGACTTCTCATAATGACACAGATCAGCTTTATCAGCTGATATCAGCCTTCTCAAGCAATAGATACTGACTTTTTCTTAAGCTGTAAATCTACAGTGCCCAACGTGTGATAGTGACATATATTTTAATATTGTGCTAATATTTCACTAACTCTCAGAACTACTCTCCCATCTTGGAGAACGTGCAGTTGGCTGGTGACAAGTGTCACATTAGGAACCTTGACCACTGCAGCAGACTACAAAGCTCTGCTCTGACCACATCTCCTCAGAGGAGCCTGGCCTTTGTCCACCACAGAAAATCACAGCATCTCCACACTGTGATCCAGTTGACAGAACAGCTTCCTGCAGGGAGATACCTTAATCGTGCTTCTCAAGTTCAGCCTGACAGCTGGTAACACACACAGGCCCACTTGGCATTCACCTTCCACTCAGCACCATGAAAAACCTGACGTTTGACACAGATGACAGGTACCACCAGCACGAGCCATCAGCTGAACGGTATTTTTATTCCAAGTTACCCAACACACAGTACTTTATGAAAAGTCTCTGATTTAGGTCTATATGCATATACAGGAAAGCATTTCAGCCAAGTACCTCATTGGGTTTTTGTTTAGTTTAATTTTGGGTTTTGGATGAATGGACGGAAAAGGGATAGACAGGCTCATGCAAAAAGAATATTAGGAAGCTGTCAGCTTCCCTTCACTATGATTCATGTGGTCCTGAGACACAAGGTAAAATCTTACGTTGAAGAGTAATACAGCAAACCAAGATGTGCTGTACAAAGTCATTTATTTTTGCTCTTCTATTGCTTCTCAAGTGACAGTCACTTAATAAAGAAAATTTTTGGAAGCTCTGTGAACAAATGCACTAAATGTACAATTACATTCATTTTATTTCCAGTCCCATCACATCCATGCCATTGCCCTTAAGGCCTCTCATCACAATGGGACCAAGCATCTTCAGGTACGTGCTAATATGTTATCATTGGCTCCCTGATAAATAAATTATGCATAGGAAGGTAGCTGTTGAGTCAGATTCTGTGTTAACAGTCATTCAGCTTCAGAAGAGGAAATTCCATTAAGTAAAACATATTTCAAGGTAAAGCTCAGGTTGAAAAAATATAAATTATTTTGATGGTCAGTTGGCCAGGCCTGAAGTACATTTTTAAATAAAATGCAGGGTACCTCTTAATCTTAACAATCTTCTTGTTTATCAATCACCAGAAAGAATAAATGTGTGACCCAAATAGCACTTATTTGGCCTTAACCCCATAGTTTACCATAGTTAATATTCTGTAACGCATCCTGAAGAAACCACCTGGGATATCTGGGATACATACTTTGAAAGAAGGAACTCCCTGCAGCCTCATTAAATGTTTTAAATCCTGATTTTCAATTGAGAACATTTAAATGGGATTTTACCCAGCTGAAAGAGCAAATTTAATTCGGCTACTGAAGACTTATGTCCTTAGAATTTTGAAGTTCTCCACTATACTATGAAACATCCAAATAAATCACAGTGGAGAACCATATTTTGTTGTTTGGGGTTTTTTTCCTCCAAAATGTGCAAACACAAACACCAAACGTCCCCTTGCCCCTTAACAAAAGACAAAGAAGAATAAAACCCCTGACTTTGCCCCTGTGGAAATGGAGGAGAGCCCAGCTGTGCTCCACATGGGGAGCTGCGTGTCAGCTGTGTGGCTGGGAGGCTGTGCATCCTTATGTCACACCTTGCTCTGCCCTCCCTGGGCCTTCTGGATGGCCAGGGACACACACTTGTCACTCAGTTTTACAGAACAGCGTGGGAGTCAATGTCCCTTACCGGAGAAGCAACTTTTGATCAGTTCACAAAGAGCCTCTGTTTCAGCACATGTAAAACAAGAGTTCATATTGCTGCTGGGCTGCTAGGCCCTGCGAGGCCAAACTCTTCAAAAAGCCTGAGGTACTTCCTTTCTAACACAGGAAAAGCCCTGCTCCAGCAGGATTTGCCTTTTCAGGGCCAGCACGCTGTGCTCAATAAGCCCAGCTGCCACCTACCACTACTTGAGTGCAGGGCTAAGCCTGTGCTTTCTCCTGTGCCTGGACTTGCCTTCTGCTAGGGAATACAGGGAAAGTTGCAATCTCGGGCTGACGTTGAAAGGTTACCAAGTTGTCATTGCTCCAAATCAACTCTTGCCCCATCTGCTTCCCTAGCATCTGTTCCCGTAGCAGTTCCTGACTCCCCCCAGTGAAGGAAATTGGTCTGCTGCACACTGTTGGTATGGAAAGGATAGGAAAGGAGGAAGCAAAGCTGGCACTGTACCAAGCTCATAAGTATTGTCAGGCCTGTTGAACAAATCTGTTCTGCACAGGGCACAAATCACTGGCAATGATGAAATTTTTACCTACCTCAGAGACCCCTATGGAAGTGCCAAGCACGAGTTTCACTTTTCTGCTTCCTGGACAGACAGGGTAGCAGTGACATGTGACTGCACTGGGAGGAATAGTCACCTAAAGTAATTTGTGAATACAGTAATATGTGACTTACTAAAGAGCTTGAGACATTTTGATTAGGTCTAATAACCTCACACCTTAAGAGATGCCATAAGTATTTCTATAGGGAAAAAGAGTAGAAATGTAGGGATGCACATGAACAGCGATAAAGGGCAGGGAAATGTAGGAAGAAGCAACTAATTTGTTAGTAATTGATATTAAGGAAATACAGCATAATTTGAAATACAAAATTAAACAATTTAATTTTAGTCAGGAGCCAGATCGTGTTTTAAAAAGGTATGTGAACTTACAAATGCAGACATAGATAATAGCGTCAAGATTGCACAGTAAAAATAACAAGAAAGGGCAAAACAAAACCAAGGTCCCACACTTTGATTTTGCTCACCAGAGCAAATATAATGTCCTGGCACTCAGTAGTAAACTGTGGTGACTGGGCTCCTAGCTGATGCTTTTCTAGTGCCAGAGGATCAACTGTGATGTTCTGAGCACTAGGCAGCAGCAGCAGACAGTTCAAACATCTGAATAAACCCTTCTTTCTTCCAAGTGTGCTAAAGATCTGGACCTGTAATACCCCAAATTGTCATTAAATAATTTAGTCTTTCCTCTCAATTCTCAACCACGAGAACAGGCACGGCATTTAATTAGTGTCTCAATTATCATTTAAATGTTTGCTCATCAAGTTCAATAAAGATCAAGCGGCTGAATTTTGAGACAAGTGGCTGTGTCATCAGTGATCTCCCAAGGGGTGACTTATTTGAAGGTTAGAAATTCATGCAAAAAGTTCTAAAAAAGCACTTAATCGGTATAAATTCTTTTGGCTGCAGACCCTGCCCCTGTGAGCAAGTGTCCAATTCATCTGACCTTAATGGATTAGGATGTATTTCATGTGTCACAGGAACAGACCGGTCCTAAGCTGCACTCACAAGCTTCCAAGAGGTCATATCTCTCTAAAAATATTTTCTATCAAGCAATTATACTGTAAAAAATTAGCAAGTGGTTCACTAAAATAACCTAACTACACCAGCTGCTGAAATAAAGAGATAGAAAGGTGTGCAGCTGCAACTTCAAGGAGGTGTTCTAGTGGCTAGAAATCTGCTTCTCAAAAGGAAGAGTCTTAGATTTGCTTGATCTCCTTCCAACCACCAGTCATCAGCCTATTGCATGAAATGTTTGTCTAACCACTGGAAGGAAAGGAAGACAGCAATGAAAAATCCCCAAACTTATCACACCTTTTTGAGTGAAGATGCATCATCTTTACTTTACTGCCTACAAAGTCTGGTACTTGCAGAAATGTACAGATTTTCCTTCAGCTTAGGCATTTGCAGCAGCATTGGAGATGAAGAGAGCAGAGTTCTTGAATTTCACAAGCAAGATACATAAGGAATTCTTCCCGCAAAGCAGGCACATTATTTGTAAACCAAGTGAGTACTGGAAGACCAATGGCAAGATATTTCAAAATGTTGCCTAGAATTGGAATATGTAACCATTATCTGCTCTCTCATTCCCCAACAAACACCCATACAATAGTGACAGTTTGGTGAGCAAACCTTTCCAGAACGTTTTTCCATGTGAAGAGGGGAAAAGGGAACCAAAATCTTCTCAGTCCCTAAGACTGAATTGCTGGAGGTCAGAGGCAAAGGCAGGACATGGAAGAGGGTCAACAATGACAAAAAGTTGAGTAGACCAAAAACACCCACCTAGTCCCAACACAGCATGCATATCATGCTGCAGAAGAAATCGGTAACCCCAGAACTCACTGCCAGGGCACCCAAGCAGGAAATCCCTCCATAGCCCTGTGCAGCCTCTGAGCAGACACACAACTGCAGAACTGAAAGGAAGGGATGCCCTGCCATTTGCAGCCACTATTTTTCCCTACAGCATCCTGTCTCCAGCCACAGCCAATGAATACTGTTTCAGGAGAAGGTCTACATAAAGGAATTAGCTCCTGAAGGCAAGCACTTGAAACCCTGAGCCTGAGTGACCTGACCCTTACATTAACAAAGTGATTCAGCAGGTAGAAGCATGCCAAAGGGCAATACATCAAAGCCTGTTTCACCTGGAGCCATGAAGCAAATGGACCTTCAGCCACTGGATTTTGCTGCATTCTGATACCAGTCCTCTCACCTTCTTCCAATGACAGCACTGAATGACTTGTCAAGTCTCACTGTAAAGCTTTCCATGTCACTCTAAATTACCTAGAGCACTGTTGTGCTGTCCAGTACAACTGGAACACTGAACCACAGGCAGGATAGCTAGCTGGGCAAACAGCCTTCACGTGTTTTAGAAGGCAGAACCATCTTCCATGGTGTTTCTCTTTTTCAAAATCCTGCTGGCCTCTAGTTGCCCCAGGCATTCCCTGAGAGCTCCAGCTAAAGACAGGACTTCCCAAGCTATCTCTTATCTTATTCTAGCCTACTGCTTTCCAAGGCAGAGTATCAGCTGTTAAGCAGATCCTTGCTCTCAGTTCCCACATACACGTATTACCTTACTGTTGGCTAAATCAAGAGGCACATCACCAAAACAGTCATACAAGTAGACAGTCTTGATTAGTGCCTCAGAAGCCTCATATTTAATGTTTGTTATTCAGTGATTTGCAAGGTATATATTGCCTCAGGTTTCAAATCACTGGCAAAACGGCAGAAACATTCAGCAATGCTGAATCAGGAAACATCCATTGCTACAAACTCACAAACAACCTCCCATCAACAACTATGTTGAGGCATGCCAGCAAGCAGACCAGTTCTGAATTCATCCATTTTCTCATAACACCTTGCATTATCTAAGTAGGGTATTTTTGTTTTGGAGTTTTTGTCCAAAGCCAAAAATCAGATGTCACATGGCATTTATAGCCAAATGTCTCAGGGAAACCCAAGCAAACCATATCAATTCAATTTTTTTTTTGTTCATCAGATATGCAATCCTACAAAGCAAAAAACCTAATTTCACCAAGCCCATCAATGCATGATTCAGATTTACCACAAGAGTTTTAGTCCAAGCCTTGTGGACAGAGTCCTAAATCAACTGTTTCATTAAACTATTCAGCTGCTGAACTAGCCAATCCACAGTTCCCACTCACCATTTAACATTTATTTACTACCACAAGCTTTACCTGTTTCAAGCAGAGATTTGTTTAGCTGTCTGCAAGCAATTATATTTATTGCAAGCTTCTGTCATAGGCTTTTTCCTCAGAATTTTGCCAATTACAAAAGAGGCTTAAAGATCAGCAAACTCCAAACTAATATGGCTAAGATTACAATTTGTGCTAATGACATTGAACTGAAACAGCTTGGGACCAACTGCAACGATGATATGAAATAGGGCTACACAAATAATTGATTTCTCAGATTGGTTGTTAACTTAACAAAAAATATTTTTCCCCTAATTAGAAGGATTGTATCTTTGTCTTTAAAAACCCTAACAAATTAAGACAAGTAAGTTAGTTTTGCTGGTGCTGAAATAAACTGCTGTTTCCATGTTGATGATTTTAACCCATACAATGCAATTGAAGTGCCACAAGCATCATTCACCAAAGAAAGTACAGTTTTGTTACCCCAGTGCTTTGTTGCATTGTCTGCTCTAATTTCTAGGACACTCCGGGATCAACAACCTCTGAACCAGATGAAGGACTGTAAGGTGCTGGGCTATGGCACATCTCCAGCTCAGGCAATTACCAGCTGGCATAGGTGTGTACAGGGGAGGAGAGAAAGATTTTCCAAGGTGAAAAGCAGCACATCAAGGATTTTACAAACTTCTCACAGAGAAGTCTTCACCTCTAACTCTTTTATTTGGTGTTGGTTTGTTCAGTGATTTAAGAGTTATAGATCTATGAGTCAGTTCCCAAACATTTCAGGTCGAGGTTATGATTGAATCATAGCCTTTGTGAAATGCCCTGCCTCACTTTTCATGCAGCATTTTTCTTTCCTACTGTTGTTTGTATTGCTGCCTGAGCGCTGCAAGCAAGCCTCTCAATACAAGAACAGTGTAACTTTCCCACCTCTCACTGCATAGAAATAATTTTGCCTTCCTTCATCCCCATACTCGGTGCATTAACATAGAGCTCATTCAAGACTGACAGCTTCTCATTTCTAAGCAGGAAGTACTGCAGAGATGGTGGAACTGTACAGTGCTGTAGCTAGGAGAGAAAGAAATACAGGCAGTACAAGCTAACCCCTGCTAGACAAATATTTGGGCATCACAACCCCTAATGTTGTCTTAGATGGCGTTTGAAAATTAAATAAAATAATTGTGGGAAGAAAACAGGGTGACACATTCTTCCCATCTTCTCTGTGCTACAGTTTACCCCTCAGCCTACCGCTTAAGAGTGTTCTTACCTAAGCAGAAATGCCACAAAGAAACTTCCCAAAGCCAAAACCAACCTGCAGCCTGAGGCAGGGCAGAAAGGGAGTACCCTGTTTGGGTGGAGCCTGGCTCCCGTGCCTCCTGAAAAGGTCTATGCACAGGATGCTTTTACTTTGCATCTGGGTAATTAAGCCTGTTACCTCCTAGTAATAATGCTGGAGTAGGTATGCAGACTATCCAACACCTCTTTAGCAAGAGAACAGGCTTATCTCTGCTGCATTTGCTCTAAGGGCAGGCAACACAATTTAGGTTGTAGCCAGGAATAGGTATTTCCATCTCATCCTGGCATCCCCAGTGAGGCATTTTTATTATCACAGTTCAGGGTTCAAGCCTTAAACATACCTTCCAGAAGAAAGATAATAAACAGTGCAACATCCGCATCTTCAACACTCTGTAATTCAACCGCTGCATGAATATGTGTGTTTAGGGATTGAACCCACCGTCAGGAAGACTGAGTTCCTATGAGACTGTTAACACAGTGTACAGACATTTTGGGATAACAGGTATTAAGCTCCCAAAGGAAAAGGCAAAGTGCAGACATGCCAGCCCACCTGTTCATTCAAAACTGCTTTTGAACAGAAAGCTGACTGCCACAAAAATCTCACTCTAAATCAGGAGAAAAATAATTATTAGACACAGATATTGAGGGTGAATACTAATCTCATGCTGAATTCAACCTCCCTGTCACTGTTGTTCTGCAGTACTGAAATTTCTTTGGTCCTCTCTCTTTTGTAGGTGCATATCTTACTGATGAAGACCTCTAAGACCAGCACATTTCCTTCGGTAGAGCTCAAAATATTTGATCAAATGAGACTGGTTTCAATATTCTTATTTTATGTGTAAGAAAACAGAGGCAGAAAGAAGTGATCTCTCAGCAAATCAACAGCAAGCTTGAAAGAGGGCTCAGGGTCACTCAGCTCTGCCTCAGCACTTCAAGGAGGCCAACCCAGCACTGCCTCAGCTGGAAAAAGACACTTCTGTCTGTCCATCCATCCATCTGCCCTGGGGCATCTGCCGGGCAGGGGCCACCCCATGGGCTACAGTGGAGTCTCTTTAAAGGCTCCCACCAACCTTACCTATCAGCAGCAGCCCACAGTTGAAAAAGCCAAATATTAGTCCTTGGAAGCAATATCTTTTAAAGGGTAGAGAGAACAGATGTCCATGTGTTACAGTTCTAATATAAATATCAAGTCCATTGCTTCTGTTGCCAGGCATTCTGGTTGCGACTTCAGTTTTCCCACAAAGAGAGCGCAGAAGCAAAGCACAGATGGGGAAATATTAGTTAAACCACCAAAAAAAAAAAAAAGATATTGCTATTTTTCTGCAAAAGAAAACAACATTTTTAGAAAACACAAATGTAGTTCCAAGCTAAATGGTTAATATTTTTAAAATTCAAATGGAGTGGCAGATCAAATTTGTAATTAGGATTTTAAAGGATGCAAAGTCAAGACAGCAATCCTTCTGGCTTCTGCTATGATAATTGCTTTTAGAAAAATCAATATATATTTTTATATTAATGAAATCTGAGGTAAATCCTAGAATAGGAGTTGAATCTGTTCCCGCTTCCCTAGAAAAATTTACCAGATGTAGGAAATGCTCTGATGAAATTTAAAAATCAAAAAAATATAGATTTTTTTTAACCCCTTCCAAGAAATGACAACTATTTTCCAAAAACATTCAAGAGCAAAAATAGGATTTTTCTGGGTACTTTTTTTAAACTGACCCTTTTTTTTTTTTCACATGAGGGTAAGTTTTCTCAAATTTTCGGTCTTCAAGATGATCTATGCACTGTTAGAAGTCTTCTGAAAATATATACAGTTACATAGAAAATTTTAAAGGTGCACTCCACAGTGTTAGTGAGAATAAAAATCTTCTCTAGTCTGAAGAAAAACACTGGATGGTCATACCCAAAGAGTAAACCATAGGAGGGACTGAGAGACACATTCTAAAGGAAAAAAATGGGGCAAGGAGCAACACGTTGGCAAAGAAGCAGTTTTGATAAGTATAACCAAGACAGCTATTTTTTACATGCTACTTATTTGCAGCCTCCAGACCTTCATGTTCTGCTGCTTGTACATGGAAAAAGTATGTTTTACTGTTTCTCTTACCCTATGGCCTTCACCTCACAGGACAACAAATTCCCAGCAAAACAAAGGAATTCTGAAGTTACAAGACTGCAGCCTCAAAAAACAAGTGGAATCAGCAAACCCAGCAATCAAATAAATGGCTAGCAGTGTAAGTAGAAAAAGAAAATTAAAAGTTAGGACCTAAAAAGGAAAATTAGCATCAGCAGATGTGTCAGAATATGGAAGAACTTTGTCAGTATTTGTCAACAGGAGGCAGTGAGTGCAAACTGGAATACAGGAGATTACACTGGAAGAGAAAAAATAAAATTGCTTTACAGTGAGTCAAACACTGGAACATGTTGCCCAGAGGAGTTGTGGAGTCTCCCTCCTTGGAGTCCCAGTCCTGGACAACCTTCTCTAGCTGACCCTGCCTGAGCAGGGGACGGTCTCCAGAGGAACTTTCCAACTTTAACCTTTCTGTGTGTGAATTTGTTTAATGGGTAAAATCATATCCATGAGGCAGCCCTGTTGCAGGCTGCCTGCCTTAGTCCAGTGACTCTGGTCCAAACAATAGACACCTACTGCTTCCAAAGCTCATTTGAACCGGACTGACTCCACCTCATCCCTTGAGAAAGCAGCAAAAGAAAGTAACTTTTTTCTCTCAGATTGTTTAGTAAGGTCCTAGGCTGACTGCCAAAATCTTTAATTTCTTTTCAGAAAGTGAATCAAATAGATTTGTAACTCTAACCCTTCCCAAGTCTGGGGCAACAAGCTGTCATCAATGTGACGAGTAGGTTTACGTCACTGGTCACTAAGTCTTTGTCCACTCTGTGAGATTGCTCAGAAGGTGATTTAGTATAACAAAACACGACTATGTTAAAGGCTTTTCACATCACTCTTTAAAAACTCAGATGGGGCTAAAACAGATCACAGGAGTCAAGCAGTAATTACTGTCTTTTTCCGCTGAGTTGAGCTAGTTTTGGATCACTGACCAACTTATCATGTTTTCCTTTCTCAACAAAAAAAAAGAAACAAATGAAATGAATCAGTCTACAGGTGAAGATAGATCCCGTAAGCTAAGTTTATTTGACTGTCAAAGATCAGACACTAGCAGCACATTTTATATGTAGATTTGTGTGCTGGTTTAAAAGTTAACCAGCAAGGCAAAATGAACTCAATTCAAAAGAGAGATTTATAAGTCAGAATAACAATTTATTAAAATAATGCAATAAGTACAATTATACAGACAGACAATTGGTTTTAATCCACAAAACCCAAATGTACAAACCCAGCACCCTGGGGTATGAACAAAAGTGGTGTACCTTGGCCCACCCCCCGAGTCCAAAGCAAAGGGAGAGGGAATAAACCTGCTGGTGGGAGAGCTGCTGCAGTCTGGTCAGAAGTGGTGATTGCAGTCCAGTCGAGGGTGGTGGTCTCAGCCTGGTTGGGAGCAGCGGTGGTCTGCTGTCTTCCTCTGGGTCCCACGAGAGAGAGCCCCAAGGCTCTGAAACTCCCAGTTATATACTCTCCAGTTCAGGCGGGAGTGCTCAGTCCCTCCCTCAGAGTAGGGAATTCCATAAAAGGGCATGTGGATGCTCAGTCCCTCTTATCAGAGCGGGGAATTCCATATAAGGATATCAGAGCGGGGAATTCCATAAAAGGGTACAGGAACATCTTCCCACCTTGCAGGCCTCTACTGACAGCAGTTTTTGGGAAATGGCATGGAGGCTATAGAATACACAGTTTTGGGTTACACCCATCCAGGGATGAATTGGTCCCAGCCGTTCTAACCAGGACAATTTGCTTCAAAACCTGCCCTCTATCTAAACATGTGTCTGATAACCTAGAGAAATCAACTGATAACATTGACTGTCTCAATGGGGAAAAAAACAATGAAAAGAAAACAAAATGTACCTCTTCTAATAATTAAATATCAAAGCCTACAAAGTCACACAAGTTGTCTCTTGTCAGATGTCCAGCAGAGAAAATTTTGTTTCTTTTTCTGAAAAATAGCTTAATGAGTGTGATTTCAAAATATATACTAATGCTCTTATTGCAAGTTTATTTCTAAGTATGAATCACCAGCAGAAAGGCAGCTTGAGAGATTTTAAGGGTAGGAGCTGAAGGCAATGACAGCCCAGCGTGTACTTGCGAATGGGAGGAGTAGAAATCGAAACCTTTGCCCTCTGCTTCATGGCTTGATTGACCTGGCAATTACACAGGCCATTGCCCTGAGCTGCAGCAAACTTTCTTCCACAGCATTGAGTCTTATTTTTTAAGGGTTTACATTCCTGATCAGACTTTTTTTTTCAATAAGCACCTCTTTTCATCAAGCAATGACTGACATATAGAGGGTGGGAAAAAGAAATTATGTGGGAGCAAATTATAAGTGTCCAAGAGCAAATTGACAGTGTTTGTTCAGGTGGAAGAAAATCATATTAAACACTTATTGTGTTCCAGAACATCACAGAGTGACACATTGCTGTGTTTTATCAAGGTATTGCATCCTTTTTCAAACCAAACCCATTGCCTTTCCATTGTTCACAAACTCAACAGCCACATGAAGGCCATCAGTTTGGATTTAAAAGCCAGTGAATCATTTCTGCTCGCTCTGTGCGTATTCTGGTCTTGCCCTTTAAGCTACAACTTCTGTACAGAAATTGGAGGTCACATATTCAAATGACTGTGCTGCAAGTGAAAAAAAGATACACAGATGCTTTAACAGCCTAGGTATTGAAAATGAGGAGTATAGAAATATAATTTTATTCCACTTGTGTCACTAAGGGAAAAAAGGTTTCTGAGATTCTCCAGTAAGATTTTGCTACAAAAATATTCCAACATTCTGCAACTGACTACAAAGGAACACACATTTATTAATCAATCATACTCCTTCACAGCCAAAATGAGTGCCAAAGACTGATGTGCTTATCGACAAATGAAACAACAGCAGCACCAAGAATAGATAACTTTCATCTTCCCTTGTGGTCCATTTTGAAGCAATTAGACACTAATGCATTCTAATGGTACCCACAATCTGTTTGCTGCTCTTGCATGCTTTGACAGCTTGGGATAGGCAGAATTGAATTTTTTTCCTGATTGAATGAATAAGGAATGTTTTAACTTCTATGAATGAGATGCAAACTCTTATTTTAAAGAATAGTGTAGAATTCAAATTCTGCGTGCAGGCAGTAGGAAAATTACATACTGTACTTTTCCATTTCCACTGAGAAGTGAGGAAAGATGTTTCTCCTGTCTAACAAAGCGAAGGAAATTGCTTTGGGCAGGCCACTGGCTAGACCAGGGCTCTCTGTGTCCTGATTAACCACTGGCTGCATCAGTCTGGACATCATTTTAGAGGCCAGAGCCAGGGGTGTGAGGGTGTCCTGCTGCCAGGTGCTGACAAGGTGCCAGGCAGCCTCTCCAGCCTCCGGTGGCCACAGTACTCACAGCACTGGTGAGGGCATCGAAGGGCTTAAGTGTAGATAAGGCTTAAATTATAGACCCTTATGTCTCTCCTCTCTATATTCTGTCTACTGTGATAACCATCACACAAGGCAAGCAAGAAGGGCAGGAATGGGGACCAGTCGTCATCCTTGTTTAAAACAAAACCACAACACACATGTCCCAAGCCAGTCCCAAAACAGTACCTACTGATTCAAAGGTTGTGACAGTCATCCCATGCCCAAGGAGTCTGTAGACTGGTAGTGACATAAGGATGAGCATGTAGCTCCTGAGAGCTCCAGTGACCCCCTGACCTACAGCTTCAGTCCCTCTGGCTCAGCCGCCCTCACGCCCAGCCATGACTGCAGCAGCAGCTGTCTGGCACAGCAGCATCAGTCTTTGGCACACACCTCTCCTTGTACTTTTTTATTCATAACTATGCCCGGGAGTTGGCTTCTTGAAATCACCTGGGTGTTAGTCACCATCAGGGGAAAAGCAGAGGAAGAGCTATCCTCAGAAAAATGGAAGACAACATACTAGGTAGCTGTTGGTCACATTTACCACTAAAAGACTGACCACCTTTTAATTCTTCCTGCAACAAGGGAGGGGCAATTCTGCCACGTCTGAGTGGCAATGACAAGCATTAATTTCTGTGACCACTGGTCTTTTCTCCCTTCCCTGGCTCCCTACTCCCTCCAGCCCGCCTCTATCTTCAGGCCCAAGGACACCCTTTTGGCTTGGCCAAGCCCCTGGTGCCCTGCTGTCCCAGCCTGGCTCCCTGGGCATCACCTTGGGGTTCCTGATAGAGCCCACTGCTGTCCCCAGCTCAGGACTCCCCTCACACTCGGGCAGCCCTGCTCCTCCTGCATCCTCGGAGCAAGGTCACCACTGCTTTCCCTGCCTTCCACCAGGTCACTGCACCAGGAGCGGACCATCAGTGAAAGGGAGACAGCTGCTGTTAGACGTGCTGCTTTGAGAAGCCCACCCCTTCCACTGTAGGATCATCCCACCTCAGTGTGGATGAGTTATTCATCTACTGAAACGGGCAGTCTACCCGTGGAAAAATACTTTTTGCTTTGCTGTTGCATGAGCCACCACTGATACAGCTCTCAGCACAGGGTTTTGTTCTACTTCCAAAATATTCCCAACTGCCTGTCATTTCACACTCTCCTGCCTTCGCCTTCCTCATCCTCCCTGTTATTTCTTTTGCATTTGACACCTTGTCTTCTTCTTCTACAAAGAAGTACAGCCAAATTGCTTAAGCCTGTTGCATAAATCCCAATTGCAAACCCCAAGATGCCTGTCATGATGCCTTGTTTCTGGTATTCTCTTCCCTCAACACCCCTCCATCCACCCCCGACCCCCTGATGTTCTCTAGCTCTCTAAATCTTCAGACAAAAGCTATCTTACTATCATTTTTCCCCTGATGTAATGCCAAAGGCCAACTACCTTGCCAGGTTATTAATGGCAATTATTACAATTACAAATTCAGGAAGAATTATTTTGCAACTAAATTAAACATCTAAAGTAAGGGCAAGTACATGTGACAAATACCCAAGAGCTGTCAAATCTCTGCAATTAGTACTCTGTTCAGAGCAAAAGGAAAAGCCTCTGAAGCAGCACTGAATTACAGATCTTTGTGTTCTTTTATTACAATTTTTCGTTGCGGAATTTGAGAGAATATATATCACACAAGAACGACCAGTTCCAAGGCTCCTATGTGCATTCACTACATAAAATCTGAAACTTCAAAAAACTTATTGAATGTTTACCAACCCCACTAAAAAACAACAGTCTTCATTTCTATTTTGGTCAATTTGTGTAAAAAATCAAAGCAATAAAAACAAACAACTCTGCTGCAATCAAACTTACTTTATTTTTTCCATTGTCTGTTCCCTTCACCACGTTTAAAGCAGGAACAAAAGGCTTTCAGTCAGGGCTTCAGTATGCATATCCACTCATGAAAGACAAATACTTCTTTTATCAGCAATGTATTGATGAGTTGACAAAGCTACTATTTTATTTCCCCTGCTAAGATGGAGTTAAAGCAGTGTATCCATCAGAACTGCATACAACCTCTAAAATGGCCAGGCAGTGGGATCAAAAGAAGAAACAGACATGACTCTCCATCTTAAGACATTTGTTCAAAGCCACATTTTTTCCTTCCTCCACAGAGGACTTTGTAAAAACGTTTCAGAGGCTGCTGAAGATGCAGCATGACAAATAATCTGAGTAACAAGAAAGCTCCATGAGCGAAGTCATTCATGCTAAGCAACCTTTACTCCCCTGCTTGACAGTTAAGGATGTGGAGCTGCACCAGATGGGATAGAAATTTCCCCCCTGGGATCAGAGACATTTGTTCATCAGACATTTGTGCCAGCACAGAGGAAGCTGTGCCAGGAGAAGACATCATGAGCATTTGATTCTAGCTGCATAGCTTGTCTCTAGTGCAGGCAGCATTTCTTTACCCTCCTGTAGGTGCTGTTTCAGCAGCACTGTAAGGACTTGCAAATTAGACAAATAGTTCCTGCTAAAAGTTGTCTTAATTTTCACCTACATCTTTCTGAGCTGGAATCTCAAGCAGTGAAAGAACTTTTAAGGGTAGTAGCTGGGAGCTCAGTTTTTCAGTGTCATCCTTGTTATTGACCTTTCTATATAAACAGTGGAATCATAGAATATCTGAGGTTGGGAAGGACCCATAAAGACCACTGAATCCAACTCCATTTGATATATCCATTGGACAGATTCAGGTCAATCAGGTGATTGGTATACAAAGAGTTAGGCATACAATAAAATAAACCATCTAAATGATTTTCAGTCTGCAGGGAACACCTCTGGCTAGACAGAGTTGGCTGGAGTTGGGAAATTCACATGGCAGGAAGAAAATAAATAAGTGTATTCAATTAAGAGCAATCCTAAAAGCATAGCTTTTATAATTAAGGTATTATAAAGGAAACCCAAATTCTTCAGAGATATAAGAAATACTCAGAATTCCAGTGTTGTTTGTCTGCCAGTCAATTCTCAATAGAGAATTTTCCTGTCAGCCAAGTTTAAAGGCCTGGGCTCCAGACAAATTGACTGCTCATAAAAAGAAAATCCATTACATCAGAACTTTTCCCTGTATGCTGAGCTTTGACAGGCTGGAGAATGATGTCCCCCACAGAGTCAAACCATGTGTAAGAACAAAGCCCATATGGCTGTGTTGCATTGTTCTTCTTTCTCTCATCTCTCTCAACAGATAATTTCCGAGCTTAAATTTGCTAAGATCACTAAACAGAAAGAAATCCTGCAAAAATTGCCATCTCCAGCCTTACTGAAGTTCCTCAAAGAGCAAATTGATACTTGGACTCAAAAGACTTCTTTCAGGTCATAGCTTTTTAAGGAAAACATGGCCTTCTGCAAAAATTAGTATACTCCATCTTGCACTTTTCACCTGGTCATTATTCAGGCTGTAGGCTTGTTAGCATGAGGACTTCCTACAGGCTTTTATAGCCTGCTAAAAATCCCCATATGCATTATGGCCTTCACACATTAGAGCTGCACAATACTATTAATAACAGAAAATTGAAGGGAAATTTACTGACAGATTACTATAATTGAATACAGACAATCCACTAACAATGTTTTAAGAGAAAAATACATTACATATAAGAGAGAAATATCATTTTGTGTTATAAGAAGGGACTGAAGTCAGCAAGGCGGAGATAACAACACCTATTAATTATATCTATTCCAGACAGACTCTTTCTTGGCTTGTTTTTAACTTTCATTAATGTGGACTCCACAGTTATGCCACTGTATGCCACTGTCACTGAGGCTTTGCTGCCTTTATCATTAGCAAGCTTTACCGAAGTCCTGAACCTCCTGTGTTGCAGTATATGCTGTGCACCAAGGACATGAAGGAAGAAAGTAAAATTCCTTTATATGGCAATATCCTTTTAGGTATTTGAAGGCTACTATTACATTAATCTCTCTGATTGATCTTTCTCTTTCCGAAAGTGTGATGTTCAGATCTGTATATAGCACTTATGTTGCAGAGTAAGTTGGGATATGAGCTAACAGCAAACATCTTTATAGATAATACTTCCAGTTACATTATTGACTATTACATCTTTGTTGCAATTAGTGCAAGTGAAGACACAACAGATCTGTGTAGCTGGAAATCAGATCCTGTGGTATAAATAAAATTTAAAAGCTCTTAGCCTCACACTTTAAAAGGACTCTCAGTATTACAGCAAGATGATTGATTAATGCTATCTTTTTGTGTTGGAGAGAGATAACTTCCAACACTAAAGACTTCCCAAACTTTTTGTCACACTACAGGGATGAAATCATAAGATGTACATCTGATTTTTTTTATACTGTGTTCAGCAACTATTATGAAAGGAAAATCCATGTCTTCAAGGATGCTTCTGATCAAACACATCCCCAGAGGTCTCCAAGAATCATGACTATTGCTTATTTGGCATCTTCACCTTCAGAAAATGAGGTGGGAGAGAGAAGCAGCCACAGAGCTGTTAAGCTAAGTGGATTCTCTTACAACAACACCACACAGTATTAGCAGGAGGCACAGCAATTGAACTGTGGATAACCAAACTACCCAGGTATCACAGACCAGAAAGAATGAATCACAAAAAATGGACACAAACAGATCCAGCTTCTCAGCAAAAGACCAGGAGGTATAAAAAATATCAAACCTACTTCTGTAAAGAACAATGAAAGTATTTCTGTTAATCTATTCCCAACCACCAACCCCCTAGTTACAGCTTTCTCAGGTTTCTTGGAGAATTGGCTACTGAAATCAAACAGATGACACAGTTTCACACTGATTACAGTGGCACAGTGTGCCAGTTTCCCTCTGTCCCTTCACTGACGTGCCCAGTAACTGTCATCTCTTGGAATTTAAAGCTAAGGGTCACTCACATAGTGGAATGCACTTCATGTCTTTCAAAACATCATTAGGACATAATCACTCATCATTTCCAAATAAATCAATCATACCTCCAAGGCTGAAGACTTAATGCTATACTTCATGCCTAACCACCTCCCTCTAAAATAGACTCTCTCTCCAAGAAACTGTCTGCGGGAGGAATATATATCTATGTCAGATTAGCTTCCAAGTAGCACTGAGTTCATTAATTCTTGTTAAATTTTCCTTTATATTTTTCATAAGTGTTTCTCCACTCCTTGACTTTGTTCAAATTCACTAGACAGATTACCATGACCCAAAGCTCTATCATATAACCCCCAGAATCATTATGAGAATATGTATTGACTTTTCACTTTGGAGCAGAGGCATGGTTTTTTGTTTCTTGTTTTTTATGTTTGTTTCCATCATTCATCTCATCTGGGTACAGAAGAATCATTTAATGTCTACCTACAAATTCTAAAAAATCTGTGAATAATTCATGCACTGGAGGGGACCAAATTACCACCCACCTGCACCTGAGGATGTCAAGGGATTAATGATCATTAATAAGCTCCACTTTCTCTTAAACTGCACTACTGTAGCACCAAATAATACATTCGATCAGCGTTGCTGTCAACTTTGGAAAGCAAAACAGATGCATCACTGGAAGGCAAATGTTCTTTTCTAGGTTAAAGAAAATTCATGAGAAGGGCACACTGTGGATCTCCTCACCCCAGACTTTGAGGTCAGCAAATCATTTCACCAGAGAAGAGCAGCATGCACTTATCTCACAGCTTCAGCCTGGGAGTCCACCTTTGCATTAGGGGAAAAAACACAAACAGATGAAAAATACAACCCCCATGTCATGGAGTGTAAAAGGAAATCAGCATTTTCTTTTTTTGTTACCAGTCAGTGAAGCAGGTCTGTCTAACCCCCTTCCACACACACTGAGCTGTTCAGCTCAAGAAAGTACCAGCTCCTGCTGCTAGATCAGACCAATTTCCTCCTGCCTGCTTTGTAGGCAAAGAGAAAAAATTTATATCCTAGCAGCCCTCCTGCTCCAAGAATGGAGCCTGAAGTGTTGTCTCCATTGCACAGTGGAGCTCAGGTCTCTCCAGCAAACAGGGTGCCTGGTGCTACATGATGCAGAGCTCTGTCACAGCACAAGGGTCTTTGCCAGGTTTTTATACTAACCACTGTGAATTCTGTAAGTGTCAGCAACACAAATGGTATATTTGATCCAGAGTTGCTCCCTTTTGGAGATTCAGCACACCAGGATGCCCCCACCCCTCATCCTGAGGGAAGCTATGCTCCTGGGGTCTCCCTGCCCTTCTCCCAGGCTTAGGGGCTGCACTGCAGCCAGGAGGGTCTCTCAGCCCTGCACCCACCAGCTCCCCAAAGAGCCACGCCCAGCTGAGGACTTGGAGCTGCTGCATCAGTCACTCCTCCTCCGTCCCATCCTTGCCCTGCCATGTCACCGTGGGACAGGCCCAGGGACACTGCCTGGAGCACCTCCTGCCCTGGGGTTAGCCTGCCACACATCCTGAAGACGAGGCACTGAGGGTGCCCCCCGGGTCAGTCCCAGCTGCACATGGTGCGTGTCCAAGGGCAGTGCTCGGGCACTTCAGGCCCTGACCAGTGTTCTGCTCAAGAAGTGACCACTGACACCCCGAGCATGAGGCTCCCAGGTCAGCACCAAATTTCCCCTTTCCACTTACCCCAAATATGGTGTGCACAGTCTTCAGCTGTTTATATTTGCCCTGTTTGGGGTTTGTTGGCTTTTTTTTTTTGTTTGTGGGGGGTTTTTTTGTTTTGTTTTGGTTTTGGGGGTTTTTTGGGGGGTTTGGGGGGGGGAAGGTGTGTTATGGGGTTTTGGGGTTTGTTTTTTTTAGGTTTCTACCTTATAGATAGAATACTCCCCAAATTCAAAATGAGATATTGAGAAAATAAGGAATAGTTAGTTTCCAAATATTTGCAAGGTAAACAAGGAACATTTCACTCCTCATGGCCTTAAGTAACAACCCTCAGTTTTCATTAAGTGTCTCAGTGTAAACTGGTAAAGCATTAAAGCATAGAAGTAGCTTCTCTGAGAAGCCTAAGACATCGTATTAAATCCATATGAACACATCATGTTTTGATTGCTGCTTAGGAAGAGTCACAATATGTAGCTCTAAATTATTTAACATAATTGTTTACTCAGTAATTTCAAGTTCCAGCACCAGGTAAAGACAGATGTGCATGACCTAAATCATCCTAAAATATCACAGCTACTGGAAGCTATTTACAATAGTGCTTTCACGTGAAAGATGCATGCTCTGGAGTTGGAGTACTTCTCAAGGAGGTCAGAATCAGCACGGACAGTACTGTGTCCTTCACATTTCCTTACTTACTGCCTTATTGCATTGTTGTACCTAATCAGCCAGTTGGCTTTGAGGAAATTTGTGGCTGGTTGTAGTTGATGCCAACTTCATGTCAATCTCCCAGTTCTATCACATGGCTGAAATTACCCATCTGGAAAAAAAAAACTTAGAAAGAATATACTAGGAACATCTAGTGCTTCCCCTCCCTGCAAATGGGATGAAGCCAATCAACTGTGAACTAAACTAAGAGCAGAAATTGGCATGAATTATGCAAACTAGCTCAACTGAACATTTTTTTCCCCTCACCATATCCCTGCTTTACCTAAGGCAGAAAAATTCTTTCAGACAGCTGTTATTTTTTTTGGCTTCTTTCATACATCACCAGGAACACCTCCCACTGGGTTGCTCAGGAGATTGCTAAAATAACATAAGTAATACAGCACAAGTATTCTATCATTAGTCATCGGGATGAAGATCATTCTGGCTTTGTCTACTTCTCTCCGTGATTTCTTTCACTGCATCAGTACAGTCCTTTGTTCTCTGTGAACACACTCATCATTCTTCAATCCTCGTAGTACCCATGTGACAAGTTATTACACTCAAAGCCTTATTATGGGCAAAAGGGGAAACACCTCATTTGGGAAGCCAAGAATTCTATGTTAGACTAATTAAAATCCTAACAGCCTAACTAAAATACACTAAAGTGTTATTACAGTGCAGTTACAATGATATCAACCTTCGGAGTCCCAATTATCTAAACAACACCATGCACAGCTCAGCAATACAAAGATTGCTATACAAAAGGGTCCTCTGATATTATGCTCTCCCTTATCCTGCCCCTCTGGCTATCAAGTGTGACAGTAAGTTAGCCTCAAAGATCAGCTTGGGGAGAAGGACAGGGGTCCAAGTTTGAAATAATTTGTTATCATCCCCAGTCCTTTGCTAGAAGGAGCATCATATCCATGATGGGGTTTCTTCCTCTCCTTTGCTGAAGAATATGCCATCAATGGTTTTTTCCTTCTTCCTCCAGGGCCCACATTTGAGTAATTTAATACATTTTCTAGGATAATTGTACACTTAAATGTTTGTTCACTGATGTGCAAGTTGCTATTGCATCCAAATTTGCTAGAGGTAAGAAATTCTCTCCATAAATGGAACAGCTCTCCCCTTTCTCTTTGTTACCACTAAAACTGCTTTTGTCCAGCTCTACAGTTCTTTAACTGAGCTGTCAATAACCTTAAGTTTCCAGTATTATTCTTTGCCCCTTTCATTATCATCTCATGTCTCTACTCCTCTACACCACATCCTCTGACTTTTTTTGTGGCCTCTAGTGTCATACCACACCTACATTATCCCATGTGACTTTATGCTACAGCAATAAATGTTTCATTTGAATAACTACTTCTTATAATTGCCTATATAAAATTAAGGTAATTCCTAATGCTTATACAGAATCAAGCAAGAGCAAAACAAATTAGGCAACAGCTTCCTCATCATGAGGAAAAAAAAAACTAATAAAAAAACCTGTCATTCATAAACAAACAAAACTAAAGCCCTAGGATGGCTAAGGCAAAATCAGACAAAGCCTAACAAGATTCAGTCCTGAGGCCTTACAAAGTAGGCAGGTTATAGGGCTATAATGACCAAGATATCCCACTCTTCCCAAAGTATCATAACTCAAGTCTCAGTGTCCTAGAGCTTTGTGGGCTCTTGAAGCCATTGAAACGTAGTGGGCACTTGTCTGTGTTACTTCCAGTTCCATATGGCCAATTACATCCCTTCATAGGCAAAGAAAATGCTTAGGAGGTAATTAAAAAATTATTTAGGAAAACACCTCAGAACCCCACCACCCCAGATCCAGCTATAAATAGATGCGAACGCACCAGGTTCTTTAATTTGCTCCAGACAGTCTCTGGTTTGCTTTTGCTTCTATAAGTGTAGATCAAATTGAGAGGGGTGGAGAGCATGTCTTTAGCAGCTGGAAAGGGTGAAACTGTGCATCTCCTCAACAGAAGGTGTATTACACACACCAAGTACCAGTCAGTCAATTCTATGCTATTACTGGCTGGGCACCTATCACACTTGTTAGTCAGCCAATTATGCTTTTTCTTTTCTGCTGCATTCAAGATCTTGAAAGTTTATTGGTGTATGTATCATTTGTGCTCCTCATGATAAAGGTTTCATCTACGTAAGTTGTCACTTTGTTGTGGTTGTGGCCTCACTTTACAAAAGTTTGCCACCAAATTTCAGTCAAAATTGTCATCAGTTCTCCTGAAATACGCCAGGCGAAAACAAACTGCAGCTTTAGCAGAGCACAGAACAGGCCTATGTGACTGTAGGGAACCAAACAGGTGTTCCAGTTAGAGGCCCTGAAACAGCAGCTCAGCCAGAGGCCTCTGAGATAACGCAGGAATCCACTAAAAGACCTTGGGCAGCCCGGGAAGGAGAGAAAAGAAACTGCTAACTCCTGCGGAGGAATACCTGTGATGAGTACCGGCAATTAAAGATAAAAATAAGATAGAGAAAACTGTTTTAGGCTAACACCACTTATAGAATATATACCTGTATATATTTAACAATAGTAGTGGGTTATTAAAAGTTTTGAAAGAAGTGTGTAAATTTTAAAAAAGTGTAACAGTATAAAAAGTAGATCCTGTGTGCCTTCTTTTCTGTACCTTAGAAATCAATGTGCTATGATAAAAGTATGTTAATGTAAACATTGTATGTCTTTTTCCACCATTTATCCAGGGACGACAAGGATGAAGAATAAAGCCTCAAACTTATAATGCAGTCAGATTGTCTTTCTTAACAACTAAAAGTCATCCAAAAAAGTGCAAAACTGCATTAGACAGATTTTCAGGCATCGGCATGTGACTTTTCAAGCATCCCCTCAATATCCATCTCCAACTAGGAGTGGGAGGGGAAGCTGCTGGTCCACTTTCATCTCCTGAACACAGTGTTTCATGGACAATAACTGAAGTCTGTAAAGTATTTGCAGATCTTCTTCCCATTTGCTAACTGGCTTCCACAGAGACTAAATATAGTGGATCTTAATCTACAAGGCTGTGAAAAAGTCAGTCAAGTCCTGACAGCATAAACCAAATAAAATAGGCTTTTTTTCCCTCCCAAGTATAACGTAGTTTAGAGAAGCAGATGTTACCACCTTATGGCAGAGAAAAAAAGGCCACATTTTCAGGCAAAACAGCCCCTTAATACATATTGAAGAGCCTGCACAGTGGAATACTTGGTGCAATCCAGAAAAGTCCAATTTGTGAAAGCAAGTAATTGCCTACAGCTATCTTTTGAGACTTTGAAGGAGAGAAGAAAACCATTGAAGAACGTACCCTTCTATGCTCAGCAGGGTCTGCAGAGCTACATCCTCATTATGCCAGGCACCACACAGTGCAGCTTGTAGAAGACTTAAGGCTGTAAGGAGATCCTCTACTGTTACATATATTTACAAAACCAGAACAGTCGTTCCATTTTGAGCTAAGCCTATTCACTTTAATCCAATCTATACTTGAATGAAGCTGTCCTTATTCAAGCTTCCATGTCAGACCAATCCAACTCTGCTTTTGTAGAACTGTTGAGGGGGGAGGGAGACTCCTGACATCCTCCAGTTCAACCCCTGCTCAAGCAGGGTCAGTGGGAGTGGGTTGCCAAGGACTGTGTCCAGTCAGGCTTTGAATACCTCCAAGAATGGTGACTCCAAAACCTCTCTGAATCATCTGTGCTAGTGCTCAATGACTCATTTAGTAAAAAAGTGTTTTCTTATGGAATTGGATGGCATTTTCTGTGCTTCATAGGGCCCACTGCCTCTTGTCCTGCCACTAGGTACTACTGAGAAT